CCCCTCCTCAAGTACATCACGCACAAGGCTATATGTAAACACATACAAGCAACGCGTCAAAACATTGACAATGTCGATAAATAACAACTCCCACGAGGAGAATACTAGCTCCGTGCTACTACATTATCGCGAAACAACTCCCACGAGGAGATAACTCGATCAACTCTATTACCCCACGACGAGACAACTCCCACGAGGAGACTACTTGATCCGTGCTACCCCATTATCGCGAGACAACTCCCACGAGGAGATAATTCGCTACTACATCGTCGCGGGACAACACCGACGACTCAAATAACTTACATAGCGACAACTTTGTCGCGCTACGAGCCAACGCGCATTCACGTCCCTTCGACACACGCTCCAACGCGTTTTCGCACACCATCGACCACTACAATTTTTACTCTCGACACGATCCGTCACCCATTCCAATATGGCCCCCACATCGACTCGAGAGTGGGGGGCTTAATGATATGCCTAATTGGCCCAACCCAATGGGCTACAAATTATTTACCTACTGGGCCACTAGCCCAATGTCGAAGACCACTATCACCGAGGCCCAATCACCTTCAAGTAAGGTTTGGGCCCGACAATCTCAACTAAGCTATAAATACACATTTGAACTCATTCCATAAGGTACGTCCTATTAACTGAGCAATAATCAACTGTATTCTCTGGACTAATACTATGATCAGCACGTCTGACTTGAGCGTCGGAGGGGTTTCCGCCGGATCAACCCCCGGCTTAGTTCATGTGTTCTATGATCGCAGGTACCTCAGGATCATCAAGTTGTCAAGCTACTGCTCCGCTTTGCTCTCCCAATCCACTTTCTACACCACCCCAGGTGATCTAAGTAATTAGCATCATCAAATAAGAATTCTCCACTTAGAAGATGGATTGCAAAAAATGTATGACTTCAATAAATACATTTCTCGAACAATACTTTAAGCAACAGTACTTTAAGTTGGCACATATTTCTATGGTTGCGCTAAAAAGTATACACATACAATATATAAATACAGGGGTCGATACAGAATAAAAATATAGAGGGCTACCTAAAAAGTATACACATATCAATATATTTCTATGGTTGCGCTAAAAAGTATACACATATTGTATTAACTTTATATTGATATGTTTTAATTAAAATGTCATATATATATTACAATTTTTATCGTATTTTAAGCATGACAAAAAAATCTAAATTAATTCAAATTATTCTAATAATGTATCGGACTTAATATTTTGTGAATTCATGGCATTGTCTCATATTAATTTTTAGAGTTATTGATAAAACAAAAATTCAAAAATATGTAAATATTCATAAATTTTATTTCAAATAATACAAGTTTTCACCATTTTATTTTATATTTTTATATTAATTATGGAGAATGAAACAAAAAAATTAAGGATTAAAATACATATTTGCGAAAACTTTAGAGAGACCAAAAGTAATATTCAATTAAAATACAGTGCCAAAATTCCTCATTTTTTTTAATCTTGGGGGGTCAACAGCCCCCAAGCCACTTGTAAGTTCCGTGTGTACTTGGTTAATGG